TGCAATTATACCCATCCACGATCTTTGAATAAAAAAAGTATATCACCAAATGCAATATCTTACTGTATAAGGGATTGTATTTCTATGATTTTCCTTTTAGATTTGTTGAAAGAAAATCTCAAAAAGCACTTCAATTTCATGACACCAAGCAATTTCATCTGCCATTTATTACAATCCCCTAAAGAAAACAGACTCATAAAAGTTCATTGGAGGAATCCTCAAGGATGAGCTATCAACGGTATCACCATCTTAGCAAACCACATATACACAATATGATTCTTTGAGATCATTTCTCATGCAACATGGTTCGTATTGTGTACTATGGATAGAGTCACGGGTTCAAAAATCACTAAAACTTTGTGGTCCAAATCGATTTATGCTCATTTTTTTGTGTCTGAATATATTCTGGTCTTCCAAACACAGTACATCGGAAGATATTCTATGTGATTTCCATGGTATTTCACTCAAAATTAAAAGTTTAACATATCTTCATAAAAATATCATAAAATTATCTATGATTAGAGAATCACACAGTTAAATGTCCTTGCAGCTTGATATGGTAGTACCCTTATGTAGATCTTGATTCGGTCACAAAGGAACCTGAGTGGAAGGGGGAATGAAACAAGTCATATAGAATCTCCTATTTATCCGATTTCTTATTCTAGTTTCATATTATGACTCGAATTCATAATCTTTTATTTTTTAAGAGAGGAAGATTATCGTGCAAACAAATTTTGTAAATTTAATGCATGTTATTACTATTAGGGTTCACTATGGTTTACATTTTTTCTCTGTGTGTATTACAAGCTGCAAAGTAATTATACTTTATAATCCTTGGTGTATTTATAATTGAACACAAGTGCTGCATTGTATTGTCTCCATCATGTACAAACTTAATTGCAAATTCCATGGATGCTCTTAGTCTTAGCTGTTTAGGGGTAAACACCATACAATGACAAATTATGTGGGTGTATCCTTCTAGTGTAGAGATATTGGGAGGATAAAATCCGCTTGCAGCAGCAATAAGGAGATAAAATTCGCTTGTTGTGTTATGGTCAGTTGGGGTTTTGACATACCAACTAATCTAGCAATCGGCCATCCACACTCACTAAGCTACAAAATTAATGATAAGAAGACAGCCAAAGGGTAGAAGCATGTGCTAGAAAGTACAGCAACACTAAAAGTGTCTATGACCTGACAAGACCCCAGAACTGAACAAGCACAGTTTGATTACTAGCATATTTTCAAATGTTGGTTCGACATAGATCATCGTTTATTGTATCACAAGATAAGATTATAGTATTTAAAATGTAAGATTTCTAACTTAATATCGCTTGAAGAGGCTAAAGGGATGTTTCTAACTGACCTAATTAACAAAACTTATTCGTACTTTTCCTTTCTTGGTTGTCAATCTATAGTTCATATTCAAGGTTCACCTAAATTGCACTATTGCCAAAATAAAACGGGTTTAACAGAAAACTTTAGGGGCTGACCTGAAAAATTGTATAGTAAATTACCCTGTTTGAAAATTATGTAGCCTTATTTGAAATTTTTGGTCGTGGGAGTTTGGC